CATCGTCCGCCCTGGGGGGTGGAACAATCGTATGGCAACCTGCCCGGACAAGGCATGGATCTGTCTCGCGCTCACGCAGATTCGCCTCACCTGGACGCAAGTCACGCACGTCACAAACCGAAACCGAAGCAGATGTCCCAGTTGGTGGACTCCGTTTCACTTCGGTATCACCCCACATCGCCCCACAACCTCTGTCATACATGTGTGCAGCCAGATCTATGTTCTACCTCCAGTGACGAGCATGTTGCACATCTGAACGATCAGAACGCACGGACTTCCGATGTTGGAGCCGTCTGGCTAGTTAGCAGCACTACAGGCACCACGCAATGACAACTAGCCACCTGCCTTACTCCCAGGCACCTTCGGACATCTTCAACGTGGGCCTTCCAAGTACTCACACGCAGAAGCGACGGGGTGAGCGCCAAAAGGCGAGCAAACTGCATGTCTCTGCGGGATTTAGGAGGCTCCTGGAAGTTTGGAGAGGCGGGGCTCTCGATGAACCCAGCGCTGCCCCGATTGGGTGTCTTCTTTCTTCCGCAGCAGCTCGAAACAGTCCTGAGCAACGCAACGCAGTGCAATGCAAAGCATTGCTTGGTATTGCATGCTATTGCTCGGCATTGCTTGGCCATGATTGGCAATGCTTGGCAGTGCATGGCGCTGATTAGCACTGCTTGGCATGGCATAGGATGGAAGGAAGGCGAGGAACAAGACCAGGGAGAAGGGCAGGGACTGGGAAACCCGACGAAAGAAGGTAAGGAACAAGACTGGGGAACCCTGGGAACAAGACCAGGGAACCCGAGGAAGGAATGCAAGGACCAAGACTGGGGAACCGAGAGAAGCCGAGGGCCGCCTCAACACATCGACCCAGCGAAAACCGGTGCTTCACAAGACAGTGCAGAATCCCGAGGCGAAACCGAGTTGGAGGAAGAGTGTCTCCACACACAGAGAGACCTCGACCTTAGACCCTTCATCCTCCTGGGCTGGCATGCGGGAGAAGTTTCCTGGCGGAGATGGGCCCTGGACCCACGGGGCCTGCTCCGGGAATGCGGGCCCTCCGGAGCCCCAGACGCGGCGAGAAAGCTCCGAAGACCGACTGCTCCTCCGGACCGATTTCTCCTCCATGCTGAGGAGGCAAAAAAATCCACCCCCAGTATAACCACCCCGACACGCCAAGCCGTTTACTAACCGTCCCCCACTGAAGGAATCGAACAGGGCACGGCTGTCTAGTAAACGCCCAAGGCCGTTTAGTAAACGCCTATTGCCCGGTCCGGGCCCGGTGGTTTTTCCTCCCTTGAATGCTGGCCCGGGGCTCGCGGCTCCTCGTCGGCGCCGCTGTCGTAGCCGGAGCCATCCCGCTCGTCCGACCCGTCCGCGGGCTGCGGTGGCCTTCTCGCCATTGGGGGGGCAGCGCTTCTGGAGCAGGGACCGGCCATCCCTGCATTCCTGCAGGCCTACCACAAGAGGTCCTTAGAACAAAAAACGTGCTCTAAAAGTAACAGTGCTCTTAGAACATGAGCCCGATGCTTTAAACCAAGGCGCTCCCAGCCAGAACTGTTCTAAGAACATTTCGTGCAAAGCACGACAGATTCTTAGGATTTTCCTTGGCGGGCCGATGGACAGGCCGGGACGCCTCGCCACTGCTGGAGCTTCGGGGCCTCCTCAGCCGCATGCTCAGCGCAACTTCTCGGGCACCGCGGGGCGCTCGAGAAGAGGCCTGGGGCCGGGACGGCCTGGCCTTCGAGGCGCCGGGAATGTTGCTAGGGCTCCCAACTTCGCGCTTCGCGCTCCGCGAAGCGCGAAGCGCGAATAACTTCGCGCCCTCGCGCCGCCCCCCCAAAGGGAGAAAAGGAGGACGAGGAGGAGGGGGAGAAGGAACGAGGACCGCGAAGCGCGAAGCGCGAATAACTTCGCGCCCTCGTGGGAGCCCTTGTGTATCCTGCCATTGCTCGGATGCCCACTCCCTATATGCATGCTCCGCATCGTGCGTGCATCTGTCTCGCAAGATGATCCTTCGGGTGCTGCCTGACGGTGCAGATGTTCTGGCGCGGGGCTCGCCGAGGAAGATGCACACGTCCGAGCGATGCCAAGCTGTGTCAGGTGGCAACTCTTCGGGGCTGCTGGTGTCCACGGCCAGCCACACGGGAGGCGCAACAGGAGCAGACTGGGCTTGACACTTCGACGAGGCACAGGCCGTCAAGCCGCACAGGACCTGCACGACCGAGCCACGAGCAGAGATCCGAGCGATCGACCATGAAGTGCAACAACCACCAACCTGCCGCGCACGCGCGGCAGGTAGGCGTGACGAGCTGGCGTGGCCTCGCACACAGCCGTACGGTCGGGAACTTGTGGATAGCGTGTCGCCACGGTGGCCCAGGCGACACGCTATGCCTTGCGAAAAACAGCGTGTCGCTCCGCTCCGCGGGGCGGGAGGCGCAGAAAGGCCCGGGACACTGCTGCTTCGGGACCGCGAGGTGCACAGATGTGTACAAAGTGTCGCTCCGAGGCGCGGTGGGCCAGAACTGGCGGCGCGACACATTATCCGAAAGTTCCCGACCGTAGCACCAGCTCGGGTCCTTGCCTCTGATGCTGCATGGACCTGGAGCGCCACCGCCACGCGGGGGGAGCGGAGGGAGCCAAGGCGGCCTGGCCAGGGGCGGGAGCGAGGCGCGAGCGACGGGGAGGAAGAGGATGGAGGAGGGAGGAGGGGCAGGAGGGAGCAGGAGGGAGCAGGAGGAGCAGGAGGAGGAGGAGGAAGAGGAGAAAGAGGAGGAGGAGGAGGAGGAGGAAAAGGAGGAGGAGGAGGAGGAGGAGGAGGAGGATGGGGATGCCCAGCAGGAGGAGTGGGCCCTCCACGTCGGCCGATGCCATCCCCCATCTCGCTCTCTTCCGCCTGCTCCAGTCCAGAGGCTGCGATGCCCGAGCAGAGCCGCAGGCCCCGCAGGGAGCCGAGAGGGGCTCTCGAAGTCTCCCCGAGGAGAGCGCAGAGCAGCCCCGAGGCCGCCTGAGGTCGCACACCTTGTCGAACACGGCGATGAAGAAGCCGCTCGTGTCCTCCCCACGCCGCCGCACGCTCTCCGTCCCTGCCTTTTCCTCCTCCTCCTCTTCCTCCTCCTCCTCCTCCTCTTACTCCTCCGCCGCACGCTCTCCATCCCTGCCTCCTCCTCCTCCTCTTCTTCCTCCTCCTCCTCCTCCTCCTCCTCCTCCTCGTCCGCCCTCCTTTTGCTCACCCCTCTTCTCATCCAAAGGCGGCTTTCAACCTCGTCGGTCTTCGCAAGGGGGGCTGCTGCACTCGGTGATCACACTCGCGACGGGGATACTTTCGGTGACTCATGCTCGGGCGACGTCATGGGGGACGTACAAGTACAACTCTGGCAAACCACACACAGGTGCGCACATGTACTCATTATGAGAAATGTATGATCCTATGTGTGAGTGCGTGGACGTGCACGTTTAAAAGTAAGGTATATACAAGCACGCATACATACCGAATTTTACATATATATATATATGTATATATATGTGTATGTGAATATGTATGTATATAAACATACATATATATACATACAGAATTGTCGATCCATGAACATGTACAAGACTGCAGTGGCGCTTCGCGCCACTGCACCGTTGTCCTTGACGTTTGTATGCAAACAGAATGGCAGGAAGGTCGAGCCGACAATTTAGGGTTCAATCATTGTTGCCTTTTCCGGCATCGCCGTTATAATAATGTTCTTCGTTATCCTTGCTCTATGTTTCCTGTTCCTCATTCTCGCCATACCCTGCGCATTCTCCCCATTCTCCTCAGCTCTTTTTGCGGAGGCTCCTCCTTGGAGAGCCTCTGGGGGCCGCACAAGTTTTTCAGGCTTTCTTAAGGCCTCCTGGAGGCCTTCTGGAGGCCTCCTGGGCGTGTTCTGGGGACCTCTGGGCTCTGGGGGCTTCTTTGGGCCACCCTGCCTCCAACCATCGTCTCCCTGAACGACCGGGTCACGATTTGGAATGCCTCGGAGGGCGTCTTGGGGCCATCTTGGGCCACCATTGGGCTCTCTTAGGGCCAGCTTGGACCCCTGTTGTGCCGTTTTGGGGCTTTCTTGGGCTGCCTGGAAGCCCTGTCGGATGGTTGTGGGGCGACTTTGAAGCCTCCCAGGCGGCTTCGGACGCCCAGAAGACCGCCGTCTTGGAGCGTCGGGAAGCCGACAAGAGGAGAACTCCAAAATTCACAAACAACCCATTGAAAATCAATGATTTTTGCCTGTTGGGGCCTTCTTGGGAGTGCTCTTGGAGGCCTCTTGGGACGTTTTGGAGCATCTTTGAAGGTATGACGGCTTCTTGGGGGTCGTCGTGGACCGTATTGGGGCTCTCTCTGGGATCGTTTCGGGAGCGCCGGAACGCCTGGAACCAGTCTGGGGCCGTCGTCGGGCTCTCGTGAGGTTCTCCAGGGCCGTCTGAAGGGTTGCCCGGAGGCCTGGGGAGGGTCAAATTCGTGAGGGGGGGGAGCTTTTTTCCGGCGTCCCCGGCCCTATCAAAATATATGAGTAGGAATATGTGTGTGTGCATGTGCAAATGTTAACGCATCCCTGTTCACACTCATCTATGGATGTGCACACATCTTAGGTAGCCATACAAATAGAATGTGTGAACGACGCACCAACACGTACACAAATAACTACATCCAAGCACTGAGGCAAAAGGCGGAGACAGCAATGCAGAGAGAACGATTCAACGACAGGAAGACCAGCGCGTGGATGGCAATACATAAAGAATCCACATTGCTACCTCCTCCCCCTCCTCCTTCACCGTGCCTCGCCTTCTCCTCCCCTCCCTCCTTTACCTCATCCTTCCTCCTCCTCCTCCTCCTTCTAAGGGCTTGATCCCGAGCGCAATGTGTCGCTGATATCTGTAGTTCCCACTACTCTCTAAGTTTATCACGAATTACATGATCTGGCTGTTGTAGACCCCCTGTCAGCATGAGTTCCCCACCTCTGACATGTGTGGAACATGTTCGCTTGGACTATACCGGCCCACACGGTTCCTGTTGGCGCCAGCTTTGCATCGCGAGCAAAGCATAGATGAATTCATCATGGTGCGGAGAAAAAGCACTGTGACGAAGAGGACGATGACGAGTGCGATGGTGTGACACGCTTCGTGCGAATAACTGCCCATGCTTCCGCCCCGTGCTGGGATCCCAGTGGCGTGCCCCAGCTTGAATCACGCGCACGACTTCCTCACGCCATGGCCGTGCTGTACTTTTCCGCTGCTCCCCGCCGCGGCAGCCGCTGCCAGCGGGGGCGCCCCTCAGGCGAGCCCTCGCCCTTCTCATTTTCTGGCCTGCCTCGCAGGAGGCAAACCCATCCAATTTCCAGTTTCCTCCTCCTCCTCCTCCTCCACCTCCCCCTCCCCCTCCTCCTCCTCCTCCTCCTCCTCCTCCTCCCTCCTCCTCCTCCTCCTCCTCCTCCTCCTCCTCCTCCTCCTCCTCCTCCTCCTCCTCCTCCTCCTCCTCCTCCTCCTCCTCCTCCTCCTCCTCCTCCTCCTCCTCCTCCTCCTCCTCCTCCTCCTCCTCCTCCTCCTCCTCTTTCTTCTCCTCCTTCCTACCACCCTCTTCTTCATAGATAACTCCTCCTCGTGTGACTGCCACGCGTCCCGGTAGGGTGGACCAAGCATTTCGCTTCACATATCCTCCCCGTTTATGACCCTGGAACTTGAAAGCTTCCGACAGCTACGCCGATGGGGGGGAAGGTAGCTACAAAGTGTGGCTCTCGCCATAATGCGGCACTCACTCGTCTTACCAAACCCAACACTTAAAGCGAATAGAGGGGGCGATTCAAAATATGACTCGCGCCCTAGCGCCGCGCACATTCGTCTCATAAATCTTCCACAAATTACACTCGTGGAGGGGTTACGATTCAAAGTATGCCACTCGCGTTAGCGCCGCGCGCAGTCGGCCTACAATCTTCCAACGGCTACACCAATGGAGGGGGGTCGTTTTCAAAATGTGTCTCTGGCCTCAGTTCTCAGCGCATTCGTCTTCAAAGCTTCGACCAGTTTCACGGGTGGAGAGCGGCTCCTTTTCTACATGTGCTTTCCGCCTCCGAGCCGCTCAAACTCGTCCGAAAAGCTTCCAGCATATTTGCGAGTGGAGGGTGGGGAGTCGTTCTCAAAATGTGCCTCGCACCTCAGCGCCGCACAGATTCGTTCTAGAAGCTTCCAACTGTCACACGTGTGGATGGGATCCTTTTCAAAATGTGCCCCTCGCCCTGGCGCACCGTGCAATCGTCCCAAAAACTTCCAGCAGCTACACGAACGGCGGATGGGATTGTTTGCAGAATGTGCTTTGGCCGCCTTTCATGTACTCGCCTTAAAAGGCTCTCAGCAGTTACGCACACGCATGGACGTCGGGTTCTTTCCAAAATCCGCCGATGTCCGCTTGCCGGGGGTAAGAACAAGGCGGATGAGATATTTGGCTGCTTCCTCCCTTTCCCCTTTCCCTGGGCGGCTATGGCAGTGGCGAAACGCGCCCGGAGTCCAGCAAGGCATGAGGGTGCAAACCCGACTTGTCTGGCTGATGCTCTGGGGGGTGCCTGTGCTCAGGGGAGGCTGCAGCACCGCTCGACGATGTGCTGTCAACTAAACCTGCAGGGTGGGCCCTTTCCCTTTTCTGTGCACTTCAGCTTTGGCTTCGGCGTCAGCTGCCGATGCACCGTGAAGCGCCTTCGGGCCAGCTCACCCGAATCGGAGTTTCCGCTCGCACGGGTGCTTCCCTCCCCTCCCCTCCCCTGGGGTCCAAAATCCCGTCAGAAGGGGGACGGGGTACGAGAGCTCCCCTGGTGCACCTGCCTGGCCCCTGGAGCCTCCGAAGCCACCTACCGCGGCCACCAAGGTGCCCGCGGCCTCCGAGATCCCCAAGAGGCCTGCTGAGATGGCGCAAGAAGTGCTCCAGCGCGCAGGAAGCCCCTGGAACGCCCAAGATGGCCTCAGGACGGCCCAAGAAGCCCAGAATTTCGCCAGAGAGGGCCCAAGAGAACTCCAAAGACGGCTTCATGAGGCAAAACGCATGAAGTATCAGATGGTTTTCAAAAGAGCGTAGGCTTCTCGCCATCTCGAAAGGTTCTGAATCCCGAGACGGTCGAGAAGCCTCCCAGATTGGCCCAAGACGGCCGTAGAGGCCCCAAGGAGGGCCCAGAGATGGCCCACGAGGGCCGCAAGACTGGCCCGAAGGCACCCAAGACTATCAAAAGTGCCCTAAGGAGGGCCCCAAAGGCCCAAGAAGGCTCCAAGAGGGCTCCAAGGAGGAGCCGGGGAGGCCCAAAGAGGGGGAACTCATAAGGACACTTGGAGCCACCCCCCACAAGATGGCCCCAGGATGCTTAACACGCTCCCAAGATGCCTCCCAGAGATCCTCAATAAGCCCTCCGAATGCCTCGAAGTGCACCCAGAAGCCCTGACAAGGCTCCTAAAAGGCCCCCCTGATGCCTTTGAGGCCCCCAAGAACCCTCACAGCAGGCGCGGAGGAAGAGGGGGCAAACCAGAAACGCCCACACGCAGGCAGCACGACAGGACGTGGCAAATAACGCATACGAAATCGGAAGCCACAAATTCACTCTTCTGGGGTGTCGGCAGATCTTCTTAATCCTGATGCTCGGAAGCCTAAAACTGTGCAACAGCTAAACGGATTGAGGGCGGTCCTTCTCCAATCGGGGCTAGCTTTACGCGGATTGAGAGCGGCTACTTTTCACAGCGGGGCTCCCGCTTGACACTTTCTTTTAGGATCCAACCTCGTCGGCATCCTCGCAGCTGTAAGCATGGATGGCAACTCCTTGTCAAAACGGGTCTTTCGCCTGAATTGCAGGACCATAGGGGCGCTCGTCTTTCAAGGTAACACTTCCTGCAGCGGGCAGGAATCAGCGCAGGGGCCTGCGGGGAGGGGACTTGGGACGGGAGGACGGGCGGGCGTACTCCAGCACCGTCGATGCATCTTAGGTTTGCTAATGTCCACTTCCTGACCCTCATCATCTTCCTTCCGTCTCCACATCGTCCCCATTCCGCCCGTCCCGCCATCCTTCCTCTTGTCCCCCACCACCACTTCCTCCCCTTCCTCCTCCTCCTCCTCCTCCTCCTCCTCCTCCTCCTCCTCCTCAACCTCTTCCTCCTCCTCCTCCTCCTCCTCCTCCTTCTCATCCCCCCTTCCCTCTCTCCCGCCTCTTCTTCCTCCTCCTCATCCTCCGTCTCCTCCTCCTCCTCCTCCTCCACCTCCTCCTCCTCCTCCTCCTCATCATCATCACCATCACCATCACCAGCACCAGCATCAGCATCAGCATCATCATCACATGTATCATCACCAGCATCATCTATCATCATCAGCATCATCATCAAACGCATCAAACTCATCACCATCATCGTCACACTCGTCATCATCCTCCTCCTCCTCCTCATCATCATCATCATCAGCATCATCATCATCATCGTCATCGTCATCACTATCGCCATCATCATCCTCATACTCATCCTCATCCTCATCCTCATCCTCATCCTCATCCTCATCCTCATCCTCATCCTCCTCCTCATCCTCATCCTCATCCTCATCCTCATCCTCATCCTCATCCTCATCCTCATCCTCATCCTCATCCTCATCCTCATCATCATCATCATCATCATCATCATCATCATCATCATCATCATCATCATCATCATCATCATCATCTACAACGTCATCATCATCATCATTATCATCATCAGCAGCATCAGCGTCAGTATCGTCATCATCAACATCATCATCATCATGATCATCCCCTCCTCCGTCCTCTACGACTCTGTGGTTGCACAGGCGAGCAAGGTCAATGCGCCGCTTCAGTCCCCCCCCCTGTGTCGTTGTGATGGGGCAGCACACGCACACATCTGCTCAGGGCCTCGCCCTCCTTGGAGCCTTCCGCCGGCGGGAAGTTGCCTGAGCCAGCAAGGACGCGGACCAGGATGCAGTGGAGCAGGAGCAGGCCAACTTGACGAATACTGGTGGCACTTCCACCGTCTAATCCTCGCCATCGCTTGGACGGCCATTCCCTGTGCATCTGTGGGTTTCGTGCGTGTGTTTATCCCAAGATGACCCAACATGCCCTTCGATGGTCCCCGTGAAGAGAAGTGCACACGTCCGAGCGATGCCGAGAGTACCGTCGCTCGTCTTCGCGTTCAGGCTCTTCGCTCAGCCAGTCTGGACTGTGGAATGGGCAGAACGTCCCTGAAGCTCCGCGACAGGGGAAGAGGCACGGGAAAGGCTGGCAGGGGCGCAGGAACAAAGGGAAGAGGCCTGGAGGACCCGGCGCCGCCACGACTGCTCCTGCGGATGTCCTCCTCGTCCTCGTCCTCGTTCTCGTTTTCTTCCTCCTCCTCCTCCTCCCCCTCCCCCTCCCCCTCCCCCTCTCCTCCTCCTCCTCCTCTCCTCCTCTCCCTCCTCCTCCTCCTCCTCCTCCTCCTCCTCCTCCTCCTCCTCCTCCCTCCTCCTAGCCTCGCGCCTCGCGCCTCGCGCCTCGGTGCCACGCTGCGCTGGCAGGTAGGGCTGCGGCAGTAGGCCTGCGAAGGCCCGAGCTTCAGGGCGCACGCGGCAGTCGGCCCACGAAGCCTCGAGCGCCGGGGAGAGCGGTGCCGAGGACGAGGATCTGGACGCCCACGTAGGCGACGATCAGAAACGGGTCTGACGCGAGATGACGTAGCGACCTGACGCGGTGGCTTAGGCGCACCGCCAGCACGGAGCGCTACTCTGGAGACCGGGGCGCCTGCGCGCGACCTTGCGCGGGCAGCTTACGCGCCGGCGCAGACGAATCTGTTCTTGTGCGTCGCCCACCTCGAGCAAAACTGGCAACATGGCGCGCACAGGGCAAAACTGGCAGCAACCGCTGCAACACGGCGGGGGGCTCTGCAGGTGAGCGGCGGGCGGTCCGCGAAGGATTGGCAAGTTCGGCACCGAGCGGACGTTCGCGAGGGGCTGGAGGGAGTCGGCACGCATGCAGCAAGCTGCCCTTCGAAAAATGAGCATCACGGGCATCATGGTTACGTTGGGCAACGCGTACTCTTCCGAGATATTGGGGCAATCGTCGTTGCGTTCGGAGCGTGCGAGGTTCAAAGCGACCAGCAGAAGCAAGAGGACAAGGAGAGGGAGGGGGCAGAAAGGGAGCGATATATATATATATATATATATATATATATATATGTGTGTTGCCAGAGAGAGAGAGAGAGAGAAAACATACAAATGACATTATATTGTGAGGATGAGAGGGAGACAGGCACACATATACAGTATGTTATATGTGCTTGTTCAAGTAAGTTCAGTGCTATATATATACACAGAGAGAAAAAGAGAAACAAAATAAAGACGCCACGCCACGGACGAAAGGCCCAAAGCAGGGCGAGCCCTGAGCGACTAGGGCCGGCCAGGAAGAGATGAAAGAAGACCACCAGGGTCGACATTGACAAGCGGACCAGCTTTCAGAGAGGAAGGGGAGAGGAGGGGGGAGGGGGCAGGCCACAGCTTGCCCCAGCGCTCGCTCTCGCCCGCCAAGACTGCCTCAGGCTCCGCTGAGGCTGAAGCGGCCGCGACCGACTCGGGTACGCCCACATGCGCTCCGCGCAGGCCGGGAACCCCCTCCACTGGCCAGAGAGCTCGGCCCTGGCTGGCCGAGGCGAGCCTGCAGGTGACCTCCTCCAGCACCTCGCACGCGTCGCTGGGACATCTCGTCGGCGACGCGGACCAGCAAGGTCCACGTGTCGATCTCCTTCGTCGCGACCGCACCGTTGAGGTGCTCCGACACGCTGAGCACGACGAGGTCAACCTTTGGTCACCTTCGACGGTATAGCCTGCTCGCGGCCTCCTCATGCTGGTCGGGCGCCTTCTGCCTACTGCTGCGCAGGCCCAACTGTCGCACCGCAGCGAAGAAGCGACGACGCCCCAGCGCTCCGCCGCCTGGTCGCACCTTGACCGTGCGAAACCAGTAGCCGCTGGCACGGCCGCTTTAGCACTTGACCTCGGACGGCTTGCTGATGCCACTGGCGCCAAAGAAAGCCCTCTCCAGGCGAGATGCCCAGAGCGCTAGCATCCTTCTCGCCCGCGCCCGCCAACTTGACCAGAAGATGTTCGCTCCGACTGGCCACCGCACCCGAAACCTGCCAAACGCCAGCAGGAAACGACTGGACTACAATGTTGTACCCCTCCTCCGAGACGAAGAACTTTCTCGGCCTCCGTCAGCGGCTCTGGCTCGGGCTCACCAGCTCCGGCGCGCACACATCCCCCTCTGCCCTCAGTGTACCAGGTTGCCCGCAACGGCACTGGCCATCGTAGGTCACCCCCGAGCCATGCTTGAGAAGGAAGGAAGGGAAAGGAAGGAGTGAAGGAGAAAGGTAAGAAGGAAATAGGGGGAGGTGGAGGAGAGGGGGGAGAGGGGAGGAAGGAGGACGAGGGAGGGGCAGGGAGGACAAGGGAGCAGGATGAGGAGGAGAGGGAGGAGGAGGAGGAGGAGGAGGAGGAGGAGGAGGAGGAGGAGGAGGAGGAGGAGCAGGAGGAGGAGGAGGAGGAGGAGGAGGAGGAGGAGGAGCAGGACGAGGAGGAGCAGGAGCAGGAGCAGAGGAGGAGGAGGAGGAGGAGGAGAGGAGGAGGAGCAGGAGGAGGAGGAGGAGGAGGGAGGAGGGAGGAGCAGGAGCAGGAGGAGGAGCAGGAGGAGTGCCCGGCTCCCGCCTCCCGCAGCGCGCCCTCCAGCCGTCGGCCCCTCCGTGCCGCCCTTCTCCTCCCCCCTCCCCCTCCCCCCCCCACCCCTCTGTGCACCACCCGGGCGCCGGCCCCCCTGGGGAGGCCTCCCCGGACCACCAGGCAACGAGGCGGCCCGCAGAGGCGCGCGGGCGCCGCGAGAGCACGCTGCGGAAGCACGCTGCGCGGCGCCGCGGAAGCACGCGGACGCTGTGAGGGCGCGGCCTGCGAGCTGCCAGGGGCCAGGGCTCCGGGCGAGGCGCGCTCGGCGGCCTCACTGGACGGCGAGCACGCGGGCGGGCGGCGCGGCGGCCTCCGCGGCGCCGGGCCTCGTGGGGCGGAGGTCGCGGTGGGGCCGTGGTCGTCGCGACAAGGAGATGCTGGAGCATGCTGGAGCACGACGTGCCCAAGGTCGAGAAGCTGATCGGCGAGCGATTGTCGGGGGGCGTCCGAGAGGAGGGTTCGCCAAGCATGGCCCAGGGCATGTGTGCGGACGAGGGGGGACCGTGCTGGAAGAAGGAAAGGGGGTCATGACACCCAGGGAGATGTCAGGGCCCCAGCCATGAGATCCGCCCCCTCGTGGCCATCACCCCCCTCTTGGCCGCCGCCGAGATGGGCGGACTCGGTCGCAGGGGGCTCACGGTGCGATCGGTCGGGGCTGGGTGGCGGCGGCCGCGCCTGGGCAAAGCAGCCTGTGGAGACCGCCGCCCTGCACCGCGGCCTCGTAGCTGGCATAGGGCGAGCGGTCGCCCGGGTGCGTGACGTGCCACCACCGCAGGCCCTGGCCGGCTGCTGCTGCTGCTGCTGCTCCTCCTCCTCCCTCCTCCTCCTCCTCCTCCTCCTCCTCCTCCTCCTCCTCCGCCTCCTCCTCCTCCTCATCCTCCTCCTCCTCCTGCTCGCCTCTCCTCGAGAAGCACCCCTTCAGATCCTCATCCTCCGCGCCTTCCTCGCCCTAATTCTTGCCATGCTCCTGCTCCTGCTCCTGCTCCTGCTCCTGCTCCTGCTCCTGCCACTCCTCCTTCTCCTCCTCCTCCTCCTCCTCCTCCTCCTCCTCCTCCTCCTCCTCTTCCTCCTCCTCCTCCTCCTCTTCCTCTTCCCGCATCGCTTGAGTCTGAAATTTTATGGTGGTTTGAACGGCTAAGTCCAGGGTTAAACTGTCTGGACTCATTTCAGGACTCCTGGAGCTTGCTTCGTTGTTTGATTGCTCGTCCTTCTCCGCATCCGTCCTTCAATAATCTTCCTCCTCGCCCTTCTCGTCGTGTTCATCCTCAACCTCGCCCTCGTCGTCGTCCTCCTCCTCCTCCTGCTCCTGCTCCTCCTCCCGATCCTCCGTCTCCAACCCCTCCACTTCCCCCTTCTGCCTCCATTGAGATATCCTGATATATCCAGATGCCCCCAGAGGTTCCTGGAGGCCTCGTCAGGCCTCTTGAGGAATGGAGACGTACAACACCTGAATCCTAAATCCTAAATCCTCTAACCTCCTCCTCCTCCTCCTCCTCCTCCTCCTCCTCCTCCTCCTCTTCCTCCACCTTCTCTTTTTCATCCCCTTCCTCCTCCTCCTCATCCCCTTTCTTCATCAGTAACTCCTCCTCGCTGCACCACCGAACTTGTTGGTGGGGCGAGCCAGGCGTTTCGCCTGAGAATGGTCACAACTCGTGGCGCTGAAGCTTGGACTCCCAACAGCTACACGGATGGAGGACCACATGTGTTCACTATATGGCTATCGCCTTAGCGCCGCGCGCATGAGTTTTAACAGACCCCAGCAGCTACAAGTTGGGAAGCTGTTTGTTTCCATAGAGTGGCTCTGACTTTTAGCGCCAAGCGCAGTCGTCTCAAGCTTCCACCAATTACGACGATGGACGGCGGGTCGTTTCCGAAATGCGGCTCCCGCCTTCGCGCCGCGCACGTTCGTCTTACGATAACCGAGCAACTACCAAGATCGAGGGCGGTTCATTATTGAAATGTGACTCTTGCTGGAAAACTATTCAAGCTACATGCTCAGAAAATGGATAGAAATCGTTCAACAGATGCACAGGTACAGGGTGGCTTCTTCTCAAAATGGGGCTCTTGCTTGAGACCTCTTCAACGTGTCTGGCCATAGGTTCAGCATGGTGTAACGTTCCATCGGTGGGAGGGCGGTTCTGCCTAAAAGTGTTGGCCCTCGTTTGAAATGCCGCTGGACTTTAGGATCCTGTCTCATGGCGGCTCTTAAAGCTGAGCAGATGCAGGGCGGTTCCTTTTCAAACTTGAGTTATGGCCTGAATAGCAAGCCCGCTCTCGTCTTTCAGAGGGGGAGGGCTCCCAATAGTGAAAAAGAATAGCTGTAGGGACTGATAGTGAGAAGGCTTGGGACGGGATGGAGCATGGTAGCATCGCTGATGCACCCTGGGTTGATTCTGGGCCTCCTTCTCCTACTCCTCCTCCTCCTCCTCCTCCTCCCCCTCCTCCTCCTCCCCCTCCCCCACCTCCTCCTCCTCCTCCACCTCCTCCTCCTCCTTTTCCTCCTCCTCCTCCTCATCATCAGCAGCAGCATCATGCTCATCCTCATCCTCATCCTCATCCTCAACATTATCCGCATCCGCATGCCCACCATTATCCTCATCCTCATCCTCATCAGCAACCTCATCCTCACCCTCCTTATCATCATCATCCTCATCCTCGTCCGCATCCGCAACCTCATCATCATCAGCAGCATAATCGCCATACTCCTACTCCTACTCCTCCTCCTCCTCCTCCTCCTCATCATCATCATCATCATCAGCATCATCATCATCATCATCATCATCATCATCAGCATCATCATCATCATCATCATCATCATCATGAGCATCACCCTCATCCTCATCCTCCTCCTCCTCCTCCTCCTCATGACCATCATCATCATCATCATCATCATCATCATCATCAGCATCATCATCATCCTCATCCTCATCCTCCTCCTCCTCATGACCATCAGCATCATCAGCATCATCATCATCATCATCACCATCATCATCATCATCACCATCACCATCACCATCACCATCACCATCACCACCATCATCATCACCATCACCATCACCATCACCATCACCATCACCACCATCATCATCATCAGCATCATCATCGTCATCGTCATCATCATCACCACCACCATCATCATCATCGTCATCGTCATCGTCATCATCATCCTCATCATGATCATCATCACCATCATCATCATCATCATCATCATCATCATCATCGTCAGCAGCGGCATCATCATCGTTAGCTTCAGCATCAGCATCATCATCAGTATCAGCATCAGCATCGTCATCAGCATCATCATCACCAACATTAGCATCATCAATATCAGCATCGTCGTCATCATCATCAGCAGCGTCAGCATCAGCATTATCATCAGCGTTAACATAATCACCATCAACATCCTCATCAGCATCATCATCATCATCATCATCATCATCATCAGCATCAGCATCAGCATCAGCATCAGCATCAGCATCAGCATCAACATCATTATTATCATCATCCGCCTCCTCCTTGTCTTCTTGACGCTGAGGGTGAGTCTGTCTCACGAGGCCCGCCGGCGTCCTTGGCCACCCTGGGCGGTTGAACAGGGAGGCCTCTAGGCTTGCACTCAGGTGTTTCACACGGGGTAGGAGCGACAGAACAGGACATCCAGGGCCTACACGCTGGCACCTCAAGTCGGCTGCAAGGATCCTGATTTGGGGCAAACCCCCCGCACACGTTGCGCCCCATGCGCTTCCAGAGGCTGTGGGGATCCTCATTTTGGCGTACCACTCACACACTTCGAGCGCCGTGGATTTCTAGAGGGTCGCAGCTGGGCTCAAGGGAGCATTGTTTCGGCGCAGCCCCTACGCACTTCATGGCCACTTTACTTCCAAGGGCCCCTCGAGTGGCCCCTCAAGGCGGCTCAGGGAATCCCCCTTTCGGCACATCCCTCACGCACTTCATGCACAATGGACCTCGAGAGGCGTTCTACAATTCCCTTGGGAACCTCATTTCGGCGCACCCTTGAAGCAGTTCGTGGCCCATGGGCCCCGCAAGACTGTTCAATGGAGTCTCATTTCGGCGCCTCCTGGACACTCAGGCGCTCAGCTGGCCCCTCAAGACTTCTCCACAATTCGGCACACGCCTCGCGAATTTCGCGGCGCATGGACCTTCAGAGGCGCTTGTATATCGAGACGGCTGAAGGAAACCCCAATTCGGCATACCCCTCACGCATGTCGTGCTCCATGGACCCCCAAATGATTTCAATCAAGCCTAGAAGACGGCTCAAGGGAGATTCGATCCGTCACACCGCTCACGCACTTGCTGTCCCATGCACTGCAGGAAACTCTCAGCTAGCCTCTCGGGACGGCTCAAGCGAACCTCAATTCAGCATGCCATTCACTAACGTCGTCCCCCGTGTACTCTCAAAAGCCTTCAGCGGGATCCCGAGACCGAAAGACCCCTCGATGGGCGCCGATGTGACCCAAAGAAAGGTACAATAATTGGCACCGACCCATGTCGAAGCCACACCCCCGAGCACCCACTGACTCCCAGATCTGCATGCGAATTCCCCCCCTGGGGGCCAGCCGTCTCCCACTCTGCGGGCTCCATTCGGCGGCCCCCATGCGGGAGCGTATGCAGCGGGAGCGGGGCAGTCCTGGCCGTGTTGAGCAGAGAGGGTTGATGATGAGACGGAGATGTGCAGTTAAAACTGATAGTGAGGATGCGCGACAAGGATGCAAGGGCCTTGGGCGCACATGTCGAAGCTTCTCGAGCGGGACTGGCCATCGAAAGTGGTTGACGAAGATGACCGACGAGGCAAGGATACAGTTGTACCCTTGGGACGTCGATCATCCCTACTATCAGTTTCGACTGTAGTTGTAGTGATATTGCATGCGTAATGCGTGTCAGCAGCGGGCCCGCGCATTCCGCACAACCATTCTCCAGGGGCGCGCAGACTAGTAATGATCTGCGGCATCAGGCTCTTGAGACGCTCTGGACCCTCCTGCTCTGGGGAGGCGAAAGGACACAATGGATTCGCACCTCCGTTCCACTGAAAGCCCCAACTCGGTGCAGCCATCACACACTCTGCGCATACCTGTGCATCGTGGAGCTCCGCAGACGCAGCTGGCCCCTCAAGACGGCTCAAGACAAACCTCAGTTCGGCACCCGCCGCACGCACCTTCGTGCCCCACGGGCTCTCGGAGGCTCGCGGTGAGGCTCCGGAGACGACTCCAGAGAGCCTCAACCCGGCAGGCCCCCCACACACAAACACACACGTACACAAACACAGGCACACACAGGTCAGCCAGCGCTGACTCCAAGTAGATGAGACGACTCGAATCAAGGAAACAGAAGAATCGAGGACGCTTGGAATCCGCAACTCAGCAAGCAAGCAAGCGTGCAAGCAAGCGTGCAAGCAAGCGCGCAAGCAAGCAGGCATAGGCATAGGCGTAGGCATAGGAGTTAGGGGGGAGGCATAGGCATAGCCATAGGCATAGCCATAAGAATTAGGGGGGGGCATAGGAATTAGGGGGAGGGGGGGGGCAACGCACCAATTAGTAGGGTTTGAGCTAGGATTCCTATACGGCAAGCCTATTTGGAGAACACGCACACACACATACACCCTTCGTGCATAATGGACCTACCGAGGCGCCCAGGTGGACCTTACGCATTTTGTGCCCCATGGACCCCCGACAGCCCTCAGCTGGCCCTCCAAGAGCCACACTTCGGCACACCTCCCACGCCCATCGTGTCCCATGGACCTCCAGATGCACTCGGCTGCCCGCC